AAATAAAGCATTATGTATTATTTCCAAAGTTGAAAAGGAAAAAGATGGTCTAAAATTTCAAATTGAATAATAGACATGATTGTGTTGAATCCTCTAAACTATATCGTGAATGAGAAATATTGACTAGAACCCAAAAAAAAAAAAAAAACTAGCTAGAGCATGTTTATCCATAATACCCGCATAGATATCATTAATATTTACTATTTAGCAAAAAAATAATATAAAATAAAAAATAATAATTTTGGACCAATCGTCTCGCGCCACGTGGCCATGATACCCACGTAAAGTTTCGGCCAGAGACTATCATGGATAATAATGATTTTTAATATTTGTTTAATCACATGATACTCATGGGTATTATGGATAAACATGCTCTAAGAAGAATTCGGTTGAAATTAACCGGTTCAGTAAACGGGTCGGATCCAGAGCCCAACACAAGGCGAATATCTCGTGAAACCAATAAATGCAGGAATCGAGAATCAGAAATTTTGTTTATTTCGCTCCTCGAGTTATCCCGTGAAAGCCATAAAGACATAGTTAACGTTGTTTGGACCCACTATGTATATTTTTAAAAATCATATATACACACACACAATTAGACACAACACGGACCTAACCGCAATCATACAACAACAACAAAATGCCACAGTATGGTCTCTACCGCCAATTATTCATTGTCTTCTCTATACTATCTCCGTTGGTCAGATCTTTCACCGTGATCACCTCCGACTCGATGGCTCCGTCAGCTCTTATCGACGGGCCACAAACCGGATTCACGATGACCAGTGACGGAGCTCGCACGGAGCCCGACGAGCAAGACGCCGTCTACGACATTATGCGTGCGACCGGCAATGATTGGGCCGCCTCGATTCCGGACGTGTGTCGAGGCCGGTGGCACGGGATCGAGTGTATGCCGGACCAGGATAACGTTTACCACGTCGTCTCTCTGTCGTTCGGAGCTCTCTCAGACGACACGGCGTTCCCTACTTGTGACCCGGAACGCTCTTACGTCTCCGAGTCCATCACGAGGCTTAAACACCTCAAAGCATTGTTTTTCTATCGTTGTTTAGGCCGGGCTCCTCAGCGAATACCGGCGTTTCTTGGCCGCTTGGGTTCGAGTTTGCAAACGCTAGTTCTCAGGGAGAATGGGTTTCTTGGTCCTATACCGGAGGAACTGGCCAATCTCACCAGTTTGAAAGTTCTTGATTTGCATAGAAACAACCTCAACGGCTCCATTCCGTTGTCGTTTAACCGGTTCTCCGGTTTAAGATCGCTTGATTTGAGTGGGAATCGGTTGACTGGTTCGATTCCCGGTTTTCATCTTCCGGATCTTAATGTTCTGGACCTGAACCAGAATCTGTTAACTGGCCCGGTACCATCCACACTCTCGAGTTGTGGTTCGTTGATCAAAATTGATCTTAGCCGTAACCGATTCACTGGTCCCATCCCTGACTCAATTAACCGGCTCAACCAACTGTTGCTTCTTGATTTGAGCTATAACCGGTTGTCAGGTCCATTTCCGCCTTCTCTCCAAGGTCTAAACTCTCTTCAAGCTTTGATGCTCAAAGGCAATACCAAATTCTCGGCAACGATTCCGGAAAATGCTTTCAAAGGGCTCAAGAACTTGATGATTCTAGTTCTCTCAAATATGAATCTCCAAGGCTCAATACCGGGATCATTGACTCGGTTAACAAGTCTTCGGGTCCTTCATCTGGAGGACAACAACTTGACCGGGTCGATTCCTTTGGAATTTCGTGACGTGAAGCATCTAAGCGAGCTGAGGCTAAACGATAACCATCTGACAGGGCCCGTACCGTTCGAGAGAGACACCGTGTGGAGGATGAGGAGAAAGCTGAGGCTGTATAACAATGCCGGTTTGTGCGTGAACAGGGACAGTGACTTGGATGATGTATTCGGTTCAACATCCGGATCAAGTGTCAGGTTGTGTAATGAGGAAATGCAGAGACCAGGGCCTTCCGGTACGGTTCAGCATCTATCTAGGGAAGATGGTATTACTGCAGGCGCAGCTACGGACGTGTCAAGCGGTTCCAAGCCGTTAGACTTCTTTAATGTATTTGCATTCTTTCTTGTGTTCTCAGTTTCTCTTGTATGCCAATAATTTCAAGTTTAGGAAGGGTTAGATAACCAACTGGTGTAAATACATCCAAGTTCAATTTAAAAAGTTATATTTCTCAATTTGTTAAGACTTGTCTTCTTGACCTTTCAAGATTTTAAATCGTTTTTCAATCCTCATCGAAGACAAATTAATAATCGAAAGTATCCAGAAACACGTATGAATGATGGAATATACATTCAAGATTTGATTTTTCTTCTACTGGCAAAAGATGTCAACGTTTAAGAACATTACTATCTTATCACAAACAGTAAAACCCAGTTCCTGATTTACGTTACCACAAACGATCATACAAAAGTCTCTACTGCAAAATTAAGACGAGGAGAAAGTTGCAAACATGGTAAGAAAGCTGAGTATATAAGGTCAAGCGAACGTGTCTTCACGATCTCCCTCCATGTCAGCCTCCTCCATGTTGCTGAACTCCAGGAAATGAGTGGGTCGATGCTCCTCATGATAGTACTCCTTTGGGGATCCGAGTTTGACGTTGTAATTCATGCTCAACGTGTGCTTTACTCCCATGAAGTTGTAGTTCCACGGTCCGTTCTCAGGAACCTATCACAAAAACGATTAGTCAAAATCCCATTTCAATGATCAAAGGACCAAAAAAGCACAAGTGGTATTGTGTGTTTCTTCTTACCATGTAAAACCCAAGGAACCGGTCACTCAAGAGCATCTGCACTTTCTCGTAATGGGTGGGAAGGTAACCGTGGGGATTGCTGCCTGTGTCCTTGTTGAGCCGTCCCCATTCATATCCAGTTTGGGTCAGCTTATACGACGTCAAAGAACAGGAGCCAGGAGTGAAACTGCATGTCAGGATGATGCATTTTTCTCCATCCCATTGCTTGTTGCTCTCCAGAATACGGGAATGAGAGGTCACATCCTATAGCAGGCAGTAAAGATCAATTAGTAATGGGGTTAACACACTGAGAATAAGGTACAGATAATGCATATTATATAGTGTACCTGTGGTGACAGTTGAGGGAGCTCATTAGGCTGTGTGTGCAACCATCCCAAGGGCTCAAGATCATTTAAGAAATCATGTTCAGGAAGAGACGACGGGAGGTGAACTTGCTGGTGACTTCCCCACTGCGGCACCATCACAACACAACGGATCTCTTTCACTTGGGGATTATCCGGGGGACTAATACCATATAGATATCCAGCAATTTGAACACGAAGATCCGCTATGCATATGAACTTCTTCAAGATGTTCTTTGGCATGATGTATGTGTATCCGGTTTCCTGTCAAAATCAAGAGATAATGTTTTAAGGGTGACACTCTGAAAGATTTTTACTTAACTGGCAAAGCGAATGAGAGTGATTTGGATTCTAACCTTGATGTCATCTGAGTTAACGTATATGTGATTGACTCTGAGGTAGAGGTTAGTAGCTGATATTGCACGCACACGCCAATCTGTCTTGGAACCGAATGCAGATTGCTCGTAGGGGCTAGTGGTGGTGACAATGAGTTCCTCACCATGAACATTTGTAGTTCTTGTTGTGACTGCAGTAAGCTGGCTGGCTTCCTTTGCCTGCAAATAGGACACAGATTTACAGTGAACAAAACAGTAATAGAGCACAACTTTACTCTCTAGATGACATTGTTATAAAATCAGAGAGAAGCAACACTTATAAGTACCTGTTTCTCAATCTCAGCTATTTGTTGCCTCTGTTGAGAAGGTGGAGTAATCTCAGCTCCAAGAATAATGTCTCTGATCTCGGATTGTGTGAGAGCTGAGGTATTCACATTGTTCTTCTTTGCGTAGTCAGAAAGGATAAGATCTCTAAGTGCTACCTCCACCTGAATTAAACATGATTGTGGATCAGGAAAGAGAATAACTATCCAAACAAAGAGAAGAACGTAGAAGCATTACTCAATATAATGGTAAGTAAAAACAGTAGATACAGAGACGAACTAGAGTAATGGGACCCT